TTTGTGTTAATGACCGCGCTGCTCTTCTTCCGTTTGCTGGCCTTCGTGCCGTCCGTAGTGCGGGCTGACTTAGGCCTTGCTGCCTCCTGGAAGGTCGCCATGGCTGGTGTTGAAGGCTTGCTGGCGCGTCCACTCTTTGTCACTGTCGCAGCGGTGACCGTCTGACCAGTTGGTGCCGGTGTCTCCACTGGCGTCTCCGGCTCCTCAGGCTTCGGTGTTTCCTTCTTTTGCTTCGCCGCCGGAATACTTGGCTTGATGCTCGGTTCAGCCGTATCGGGCTCTTTCTTTGTCGGTTCTGGCACCGGCGGCGCGGAGGGCTCCTTGAACGCAGCTTTTACTTCGGCTGCAGGCTTCGGCAAGACAGGAAGAGGCACCGCTTCGGGTGTCGGTGGAGGCAGGGGTGCCGCGGTCGTGGCCGCTCCGTAAGGCTTGGTTCCTGAAGCAGCCGACGGCGGCCGAGACTGTTTACCGCCTTCCACAGCTGCTTGTTGTGTGATGCTTTGCTTGGCCCTCGAGGCAGTGGGAGGTTTGGGAGCTGGGGGTACAGGGGTCACAGTCATCGGCGCGGGGGAGCCTCGAGGCAACACTGGGTCAGGGAAGTTGCTCATTACAGGAGACGAAGCAACCGACGGAGACATGCCGGCGGCTCCATTCTTGCTATAAGAGACATCAGTACATAGTCTTTGACGGCAATTTGTCGCAAACAGAAGGATACAAACCTCTTCTTTGCTTGACCGGTACCCGTCGGCAGTGCCTTTCGCTTCTTCGGACCGCCACCTTCTGGCGCTGGGGTCTCTCTCGGGCTTGTCGTCTTGGCCTTCGAAGCTGTGGCTCCAAAGACGGTGCTCATGGCCCGCTCCGCTGCGTTGTTTCCACTGGGAGTTTTCTCGACTTTGCGCCTCTTGGGTTGCGGCGCGGCTCCGTTCGTGTTGCCATTTGTTGAAATTCCCAAGCCGACGTTGGCAGCAGCTTCAGCTGCCTTGCGCGCCTTGCCACCTCCATGGCCCTTCTTCGTCGGTTCTGGTTTGCTGCGACCTTCAGCGTCGTCAAGTTCGGATTCATGAGGCTGAGCCTGCGTTTTCTGACTCTTCTTAGCTTGGACAGCCTGCTTGCGTGCGTCGCTTCGAGCAGCGGCCTCCTCAGCTAGCTGTTGAGCGGCTGCCGAGATCGCAGCAGCTCCCTCACGCCGTGAGCGCTCAGTATGTGCCGCCTTGGTGGCAGCTCGATTCTCAGGGTATGCCCAATGGGTATCGCTCCCCCACTTCGCCTCGTCGCTAAACTCGTTCTCTACGTGCGGCCAGACATCGTCAATCCGGGCCAGCTGTTTCTGGAGGGCATCGTTCGCGGTCGAGATGACATGGTTTTTCTCTTCTAATGACCCGAGCATCTCCTGAATCTTGTAGGCCGTCTGTCGGAAAAGCTGTCTACGGGGGAAGTTGCTCGGGTCGTAGATGGATGTCGCGTAGGAACCGTCGGTCGAGGGAGCTGGGGGAGGAGCCGGGCCACCCAAAGGGACTCCGCTGGAGCTGTTCTGTGCACTCATTGGGGCCGACGCAGGTGCGACACTGCTGGAAGCATCATTCACTGGTCGGGGCTGTGGAAGAGGGGCATTCATGGCAGCGTCGACAAGCTTGAAGAGCGCATCCTCGGGAGCAAATATTTTGGCATCGACCTCTTTCAGAAGTGTAAAGTGTCGGACGAGCTCTTTCGGGAGGGCCGCAATGGCATCGGAGAAGTAGGATATAGCAGGATAAATGTCGATGGGCTGGTCAGAAGCAGAACCGCCAGCAAGTGAGTCTCGGCCGTTCGCTGATCCTCGAAGGCCAGAGGAGACGCGCGGGGGGTTGGTTCGTGTCTGTCGAACGGGTTGGGACCTCCGACTTGAGGGAGTATCCCCCGACGACGTCTTTGCCGACTTCATCGCGACGTCGATCGGCGCGCCGCAAGGAACGCGCGAGGTCGAATGTCGTAGTGAGAGAGAGCGAGGGTCTGGCGCAGTGACGGACGTAGAGAAACGGGTGCGGTGGAAGGGAAGAGTAAACTTTAGAAGGTTCTCGTGTCAGTGGAAACGAGATTTTTGAAATTTGAGAAAGAATTTGACAATCCTAAGGCATTCTGATCGATATGCAAACCTAGACGGTGTAGAATGCTTGTGGTGAGAGGGGGTAGTGCGCGAGGAAAATGAAGAGCGAGGCCGCGGGATCTTCCATCATCCATCCGACGCACTTTTGGGGACCTATCTGCCGCGGGCGGAGGAGGACTGGCTGGTTGAGTGACCCCATCCGTCACTTAGCGAGTGATTTGGGCCTGAGGCCTGAGCGGAGCTCACCTGAACCTGTCCACCGCCCGCGGTTGGTCCCTTCCCAGTTTCCCATTGGCCCTGTGCCTGGCGCGCCGCGCATTTCAGCCACATTTACTTTGAGACCCAGCGGTAATGGGGGGAAAAAAAAAGAGAATGGGAGCCCGCACATCGCGCCTCAAGTCACGTCCCGGGCACTGAGGCCAGTGTTGCGCGCAGCACCTCATTGAACACTGGCAATCCGCTATCAGCCACATCAACTGCGTCATTCCTGGGGTATCGCTATGTCGGCGCCACAACTTGATAAGTCCAAGTCTGGAGTAACTATCACTTGATGCGTTCCTTTGTAACATTCCAATTATCATTCCGCCATCAAGTGAACTTTGCCGGAATTTGCAGCTGCACGGGAAACTTCCCTTCCTGCACAATAAGAAGGCGTCATCTACGAATTATAAAGTTGATGGATATCAATATGGTTTACAAACACTCTCTCGTGGTATCAGGCCCGCCTTCCCTCCATGTGGTCTCTCAATCATGAGCAAAAGACCTCGAAGCTGGTTCTTTCCAGCCAAACACAACTACCAATAACTAAGAAACGCCTCCCTATGGAAACACTCGGCCGTTATGTTCAATGGGACAGGTTCAGGCAAGCTTTCGTGCCTTGGCCATCGCCTGTTTCGGCCGCTCGTCTCTCTCAATCTGCTTCTGCCTCCACTGCCACTCCAGAAGCACAGGCAGAAAGTGCTGCAAATCGAAGTCGGGCCAAAGACACTTCAAAAAGAAGATGTGCGTATCTTGGTGACACTGCCAAAGCATGAAATCGCTGAGTCTCTCTACGCCACTAGTTCTCACAAAGATATCCAGCGGAGGGTTTCCAGCAGTGTACATGTGGTTGTTGAGAGTCTCAGCCGTAATGGTCTCTGGGTTCTTCAGGCGGTGCCCGCTTGCTGCGCCGCTGTGCCTAGGCGGTGAAGGCGAGTCGGGAGGAAGAGTAGTCGACGACGACGCACCATCATCGCCATCTGATCGTGAAGAGGGAGCCGGCGATGTGTCCCGGATGGTCGGAAGGGGCTCCCGGTGCTCCAGTTGCTTCGACATGATCTTTTGCGAAATACGAGCAGCCGGGAACGGCGTGAACTTGGGCCCAGGGGGCATCATATACTCCTGTACCGTGGATCGCATGGCCGTTGTCATCTCTTCCCGCGAAGTATACGGAAAGCAGATGTTGAGCACATTTCTGACTCTGTCAGCCTGAGATATCTGGAGCGGTAGCTTCTGCCCACTTACTGCTTGTTGTACTTGGTCATGTCAACAGCCCGGTCGACCACCTCCAGAACATCCTTGCGAATCAGATCTCTCTGTCCAAGTACACGCACCGCCGCGCCGTATCGATCCAGGATATCGCCGTGTTTCGTCAGCTGCTCGAGCTTCACCTTGGCCAGCTGCATAAGCCCATCCACCTCGTATTGCGGGCGGTTGAAGTTTTCTATGCTGAAGGCGTAGACGGTCACGACTTTGACGCCGCACTTATAACAAATCTCGAGAACCTGTTGTGATGGAAGTCAGCAAGCGCAACACAAGATAGAGCCATGGGAACGCGCACTCTTGCTAGGGCTTCAAAACCGTGGTGGTGGCCTTCTATCGTCTCCATCTTCCTGCCGCGGGCATACCGCCTATTGCCATCCATCTCGAATGCGACATGTTGAGGAACCGGTCCTTGCTTCAAGGCCCCGATGAGGAGTTCGCGCAGTTGGTTTATTGCCCACTCGGCAGGCGGCGAACTAAATAGCCATCGAGTGATGTGGTTAATGAATATTTCCGACATGCTGTCTGATCGGGCTCTGGCGCGATGCTCAGCGTAAGGTAGGGAGAAAGGAAAGTTGTAAATGTGCTGAATTATGCGTTAGAAGGGATTCTCGTTAGGGAAGAAATTGGGGAGAGAATGTGGGACGAATATCTTTCACAAGAATTACAAGAAATCAGTGGTGTCACTATGTGAGGTTCGCGTCAGATCTGTTGGCACCTTGGATAAGTACCCGCCTAGAATCTTAAGCTTGGAGTAACGGCAGCGGCGGCGTGTGCCCAGAGCTCTGCGCCTCGCAGAAACACGTCGTGACAGGGTTACGCAAGGGACGCAAGGGTGGCACTGAATGGGAAGCTGCCCAGCAATTCGTTGAGCGAATGGCAATCCGGGGATCTGGCGGGTGGGCAAGCCACACTCAGCCCTCCAGCCTCGTCATTGCATGGAAAGGTTTGAACCTGTGGGTCTCGCGCTCTGGGGGCCCACCTCTTTCGTGGCGTCGTTGCAACGCCTGAGGCTGGGGCCATTCCCCCTACTGCATGGCTTTAACCAAGGACACACTTGAGGAGGGACAGCACAAGCTGTGCATCAAGCTCCAAGTGGGTTCGGCGACAGCCAAAGAAACCACCTGGCATCAACCATCCTTTGGTCGCCCTTCGCTCTCCGGCACCGCCCGTCGATTCCGACAACACCACGAATTTGCGCAATACTATCAGAACACGATTGAGTCAAGCTCCGTGGCAGCTGGCAAAGGACCCCTCGCAGCAAGGGCGCATTCAAATCGAGCCAGAGCAGGTGCCTCAATCCAAGGGCAAGGGATCGTCCTCACTGCCCCTCCACCAGTTGAGTGTTGCTGAGAAAGCAGCCCGGCCTACGATGCAATAGACGTCCAACCACAACATGTCCTTCACGAATGCGCCAGTGACGCGCACCCTCGTTCTTGGCCTTGTGACGAGCTCCATTGCTGCCAGCTTGCTTGACGTCAAGCATTACTTCTACATTGTTGTAGACACCCATTTATGGCGCTATCATCAGTTCTGGCGCCTGCTGGCGTACCAGCTATGCTGCACCAACTCGAGCGAGGTCCTCTTCGCATCAATGACTCTCTACCACTTGAGGGTCGTTGAACAAATATGGGGATCAAGGAAATACGCTGTGAGTGGCTGCAAGGCCTGAGTAGTGGACGGAGTGATGCTGACAGCGCTTTAGTCATTTGTAGCTGTATCAGCTCTCTTCACTGCAGTGATACCTCCTGTTCTACTGTCCATCATACCACGGACATTGACCGCGGGTCTATTCAACTATATGCCAGCCGGCCCTACCCCGATCATCTTCGCTATCCTCGCGCAATATCATGCTGCGATCCCCAATATCTACCGATATCGCGTCGCGGCTTCCGCAGCTCCGCCCACAAACGACCAATTTGTCGGATTGACTTTCTCTGACAAGACGTACCGCTACGCTCTCGCTCTACAGTTGGCACTCTTCCAGTGGCCGGGTTCACTGCTGGGAGCTGCGGTCGGTTGGATTGTGGGACACTCCTGGAGGAACGACTTGCTACCAGTTCCATTGACAAAATGGCGCCTTCCCGGGTGGATGGTCGGAGTCAAGACACAGAGAAGAAGGACAGAATTCGAGGGTCTTCGAAGGCGGTTGGAGGGTGAGGGTTCATCTGCAACCACCTCGGGCGCGCAGGGCCAGGTGGATGGAGACGCAGGACGGAGGAGACCGGCCGGCCAAGATAGGCGGCAAGACTAAGTTAAATAGCCCTAAATAGACACAAAATACCACTTACACTGACGTGAGCTCGCTGCTGAAGCACTGGATGATACCAGGTCTGCGAGAACACTTATTCGGGAGTAGTTTGTTCTGCGTTTCCGAGATTTCACAAAGACTCTCTACCAAGTACCAAGGATCTGCCTTCAACCGTCGGGAGGACATTATGCATTATCTCTCAAGCTATGGCAAATGCAGCAAGACTCCAGTCTGGTCCTGCAAATGGTTAGGAGTATGAGCTGGTGAGGCTCAATCTACCGAATAACCCAGAGGGTCTTGCTTCTATAATGTTAATAAACCGATGAACCATTCACAATTCATGGTGGACCTGGGAAGACGGATGGCCATTCTTGGGATGATCAATAATGAGGTGCCCGAAAGAGGTTCGGGCGTTTCTCAAAACGGTTTAGTACGGTGCAATCCTGGCTCCAGATCCTGGCCGTCAAGAAACCCGAAATTACGGTGTAATTCACTCCCAGATTGCACCAGTCTTATGCTGATGCGACGGTTCGGCAACCATCCGCTAAATACAGAATAACGAGGGGTGTTACCGACGCAATCTGGGTACAAAAGGGAAAAAAAGCAAACATCAGGAAGCTTCCACAGCCTCCACAGGTGAAGAAGCAAATGTGAAGAACTTTGTATTTCTCATGGAACACGCAGATGGATGAGGCGGATGCAGCAGTCAGAGATCCTAAAACTAAAAATACGGTCCGCTGACTCTCACTAGCGCGAAATAGTGCAGTACGTACCATCGACCAACGGGCCCATCTGCCAATAGCGTAAATGGAAGGTAGCCGCAGCGACGCAGGGAAAACGGGTAAGGGACGAACCCAGTTAAGCTTAGCGCAAGAGCCCCCCCGAAGTGGGAGCTGCGAAGCATCGCCAATTATGAACCATCTGCCAGGGGGCGGGGGGCGCTTTTGCTGCGGTAGTGTCAAATGTGTCTGCCAGACTGCCACCCGCTGCGACAGGTCACCCAACTCAATTTTTGGGACGGCAAACTCAACTGCACCAGCACCTGCACCTGCACACATTGCACCTCGTAGTCGCTCTTGCACAAGCCGATCCACCTCTCGTTCTGGGAGAAAAGGATGTCTATGCCTCGTCGGGGGAAACACTCTCTTTAACCTCGCAACTTTTCCCCCTCGATTACCTTTTGCGAAGCGGCTGGTGTTGAGTCCGTCTCCGACGACGTCCCCCGTCTCCACGGCGATAGCGACCTCGATACTGTAACAGTGAACAACCCCCTTGCCTCCCTCCAAGGGGTTTCGGCACAAATCCCACGCGCCAGCCACCAGCCACTCTTTGTTCATCCACGCATCGCTGTACCATACCATTGTTCCAACGTCCCCGTCCGACGTGTATTCGAACATACACTTTACCTTAGCCTCCTCGTATCCGTCCGACGAACATGCTTTCCACAACCGCAACGACATCATAAGCTACCTACGACTCTACGATTCCGCTGTAATATAATGATTTGACGCGACCCGTCCTTTGCTACACATCTGACCCCATATCATGAACGGGTACTCCCCGGGGAGGCCCTCGCCGCCCCGGGCTGCTGGCCCTGGCGGAAGGTCAATAGGTGGGGATGGCCTCAGGAGAGACATTATGAACAACTTTGGAGGGGCGCCTCTGCGCGTGAATCCGGTCAGTCCTCGTCACTGGTCTAGCTCGCTTAGTCCAGACGCATCTAACACCACGCAGACGAATGCCAAACTTCCGCCGAGCTCTGCACTGGTTGATCTCAAGGACCCGATTCAAGTCCACCTATTGACGGAGACGGCGTTGACGGACAGCAAGCAATACCGAATATTGTCGCAGGAGGAAGTGGACGGGCTCAAGAAACAGATTCAATCCTTGAGCTTACGGGTGGAACAAACACGCACGAACCTCGCTATCCAGACCAAGTATCGAGATGCCGCTGTATCCATGGCCAAGCTGTACTCGCAGCCCGAGGCGGGCAAGAGGAGGAGTCTGATGGGCAGTAACCGGAACAGCACGGGGGAGTCTTTGCGTGAGGCCGAGGCGGAACGACAGGCCAGCGAGAAACGAGTCGACGACCTGTCGAACGAACTACGGAGCCTCGAACAGCGCCTGGTTGAATCGCAGAGGGGTCTCCTGGAGCACACCGCCGGCATCCTCCAGCTAACGCATAAGGCATCGAAAAAGCCCGTGAATCAAATCCCCGCCCAGTTGATGAACGGAATACCTGGAAGCCCGGAGAGCTTGTACACCTACTCAAACGGCCGCAATAGTTTAGAGGTCGGGGACGACTCCTTCGACGAAGATGGGCTTTTCCAAGATCTGAGCAACATAAGTCCGCCTCGCGGGAAACCCAGAGTTGCTCCGCTCGATATTCCCTCAAAGGCGCCGAGTCGTGAGCAGGATACCCAGCTACGGGAGGAGGCTGATAAGCTGAGGGAAGAGAACGCAAAACTACGCGCGCAAGTCGACGCGTTGAACAGCCTTCGGGAAGAGAATAGCCAGCTTCAGGCGCAAACTGATACCTTAAGCGGCGAGATTGATTCTCTCAAAAAGGAGAACGCACAACACCTACAGTCCGTTTCTGATGCGGAACGGAAGCTAACGACATACAACCAAACTTTACGAGACGTAATTATAAACTTTAATCCGGCCAAGAACGGAGGCTTCAGCGAACCTCCCTCACTAGTAGCGGAAGGGCCAGCCGATCCTGGCGCTACACTGGGAAGCCAATTCGAGTACCTGGAGGCAGGTCTGTCGACTGTACGCCAGGAACAAGAGCTTCAAGGACAGTCGAGTAGTACTCTGCAGGACGCGGAGGCTGCTGCTGCTCAGGCATCTATCGCTCTCACGCAGGCAGAAGGCCGTCTCGAGGATGTAAACCAGAAAATGCGGGATCTTCTTGTCGGAGTTGACCCAAGCTACCCCGAAGTTCCGGACTCTGGCATCGACGCGCAGTTCGAGTGGCTCCAGAACGCTCTAACTGTTGTGGAAGAGGAGATGAAGAAGAATGCCAGCAAGTCGGCTGTCAAGAAGCAAGACGACGAGCAGGCTGAGGTCGTACTGATGGGCCTGTGGGAGATCATCCAGACTGGTTTCGCAAGCATCCAGCAGCAGAAAGCAGACCGCCGCCGTACACGTATGGAGCAGGGCAGATCTGACAACGATGATGACATGTCTGGAGACGAAGCTGTCGATACATCAGAGCCTTACTCGTTGTCGGCATTCTCTACAAAGGTCCAGTGGCTCTACAGTCAAGCCACGAGTCTCAAGGAGCAGAAGTCCGTTCTCAAGCGCCAGATCAAGCAGCAGCGAGAGTTGAACAACAAGTCCGACTCGCAAAAGGATGAGGAGCTGAAGACCAAGCAAGACCAACTCGACCAGCTTCGATCAGCCCAGATGCGAGCTGAGGAAGAGAAGGCACTCGAGCTTACGCTCAAGCAGGACCAGTTGGACCAGCTTAGGTCACTGCTCGAACGGTCCGAGGAAGAGGTTGCTGAGGCTCAGGAGAAGCTCGCCAAGGCGCAAAAGGAGGCAGAGGTCGCCACCACTACGCGCATGGCCAATGAGTCCAGCAGTGCCAAATCCCAAGATGAGATCAGGGAGCGTGATGCCAAGATCGCATCTCTGGAGGCAAGCAGCAAGGAGGCCCAGACGACGCTTGCCAGTCTCAATACGAACGTTCAGGACATGAACAGCAAGCTGAGCAAGGCCAATGAAGAAGTGGCGCTCTTGACGACGAGGCTGGCTGGAGCTGAGAAAGCCGCAGTCGAAAAGCAGCAAGAGGCTGCAGCCAAGGACAAGGAGGTCAAGGAGAAGGAGGAAGAGATTGAACGTTTCAATATGATGATTGTCGAGCTCAAGACGGAGCTGACGATTGCACAAGCCGAGCTCGATGGTGCCTACGGCTCTCGTAAGGAGAGGGCCAACCAGGCTGCGGCTGTCAAGAGCACCGTCGAGGTGACCCAGCTCAAGGCAGAGGTCGACAGGCTTAAGGAGGAGCTCGCTTCGACACTCAAGGAGCTGGAGAACATCACGGCCGAGACGATTAATGCCGAAAGGGAGAAGTTTGAGGTCGAGACTAAGCTTGATGACGCGCTTGCAGTCAAGTCGAGCCTCGAGGGCGAGATCAGCTCATTGAAGGATCAGCTTGACGCCGAGGTCAACAACTCGAGGTCCAAGATGTCGAAGCTGCAGGAGGAGCTTGACGACGCGCGTCTCAAGGTGACCCCAGGCACTGGCGCTCGTGGTGCTGGCGCATCGATGCTCAGCGAACAGTTCCGTACTACAATGAGAGAGGAGAGGAAGAAGTTCCAAGAGGACATGAGGGTATGTTATCCAGCCTTTGCCGATCTGATTACAATTTATACTAACTATGTAACCAGGAGGAGCAAGCTAAGAGGAGAAGACTCGAGGAAGAGCTGCAAAAGATACGGAAGACACAGGGCCCTGGACGGAGCCCCTTGAGCCCGCGATGAAGACTGCCACAACGAAATCCTCGTTCCAACAAGAACAACCAACAATAATATGAGTTATCGCACATCTATATATTCTCCACGGCGTACCGCATTTCTACTTATCACACCCTCGTCCGTTGCAATTATGTACCACTAGCACGAATCCGCGTCGCCTCGTCTTTGTTTTCTACCTTTTTTTTTGCATAGCGGGATCATAGACAAGAGGAGACAGAAAAGGGGGAAGTGGAAACATGTTATTCTCCTTTGGGGATTGGATACTAGTACCTATTGTTATTTGCTATTCCGGCACGCCTCTAGATGGGTTACGTCGAAGGTACCTCTGGATGGTCTGTTGTCCGACGTTGCTGTGAAAAGGCCTTGTTCTTGCATAACCAAGGTTTGCTGTTTTTCTGGATACCAAGGAAGAAAGGGGGGAGAGCAGGCGTAGTGTGAAGAATGATAGTGAGGAGAAAAATACCAAGTTACAAAGTTGTGGAATATCATCGTATCATCCTGTCATATCCTCTGCCTCGC